TTCAGTAAAAAGCTTTTACTGAACCTTCTTTTAATTGACTAACGCTTAAATTAAAGTAACTTTATAGCAAGACTAATATGGTACTTTAAGTTATTTTTGACAGCTAAAAGCTCTGAGTAAAATTTTGGAAATCGTAATTCTTTGTAAAAGTAGTTTTGTATTTGAGCTCTAGGTGGCAGAATTGTTCTATGTTCCTGAAATTCACAATAGTGGTGAATTTAATTGTGAAGTTGAAAAGATAAAGGTGTCCCAGGTTAATAGCAATTAGTGCTTTCAAATGGAACGAGTGTGTGGTTTTAGAAGGCCTGTGCACAAGTGACATGGTATAGATTTCAATTCCCAAACTCTACTTCAAGGTATATTAGCTTACTCAGTAGAACTGGGAAGACAGTTGTATTGCTGCTAGACACTCAATGTGATTTGAGTATAGCTCTTGAAGGAAGAATGGACCAGACCATGAAAGTTGTTTTCATAGTGAGCAATATTGAATCTCGCTTTGGGACTAGGTACCTCAAATTTGTCAGAAAACCTCTGGGGTAACAGAGCTATGTTACGTGAAGGAAATTTAGGTTAGCTGTAAAGTAACATCACACTTGTGCACTTCTTCAATGACTTAAAAATAAAATAATAAACAAAAAACACCCATCTGCATTTCTGTATGGTGCATGTATATATAAGAAGTAACTTCAGGTTATGTACAAAGTATTTTTTTTAAAGCAGATTTTATGCTGTGTTCTATTTTCAGGACATTAGTGCTGCTCTTTCATACTTCTGAGTTAGTGTTTATTCTATTTTAAATTAGATGCTTTATATGTCTTTCACATAAAATACTCTTACTATAAAAATCTAGTGGGGGAAAAAATAGAACAAGTGAGGAATTAAACTTGTCACTGGAAACAGTCCACAAATAGGGCTAATAACTATGTTTTATTTCAGTGCAGTAGACTGTAGTAGTACTTAAACTTTTTGACTGGTGGAGTATTATTTGTTTCCCAGAGCAGATTTTGTGATAAGGGGTGTCTGACTTTTTTAATTTTCCATGGCAGTTAGTGACAAATCAAGTTTTAATAATGCTTTTTTATATATGCCCTCGTTGGACAGTTTAAAAAAATTTGTCATATACTCTGCTCCAGTTTGTTAGCTATATCAATTGTGATAATTTCTTACATTGGTACTGTCCTGAAAGCATAACGAAAATGATCTATTTATACTTAGGTGGTTCTTTTACAACTTGTTTGTTCTGTTTATACCTCCTGTATGAAACATACTGTTGTATGAGTTACTGCATGATGGACATTGCAGGCCAAAAGTGTACGGAAAATAGTTTGAGAAGTGCCATAAGCCCTCTGCAAGCATGCCTGTCAGTGCAGTTGAGCATCTTGTCCTTTTTAGTCAACGGAAGCAAAGGAATGAAAACAGGAGAGGGACGTGTACACCTGGTTCAGAAAGGAGGCATTATTTCATGACAATTCCATCATCTGTGGTCGTATTTCCATCTGTGGTCTTTACGAGGAGTTTCTGCCTTAGGAGAATAAAGATGTTGGGTCAGAAACGATGGAAACTTTTTATGGTCTGAATGAGCACAGTGCAGAAAATATCAGTACTTCGTGTAGCTGTTCTACCTGTATTTGCATGCATGCAGCTGTCTCTGAATATCAATCTTGTATGTATTCAACCTTTGATTCTGAGGGCAGTGTAGCGTACAACACGAAATACAATGCTCTAAGACTATCTTCAATTCAGAATAACAAGGAGGAGAGAATCAGCTTCAGTGGTTGTGAACAGTTTGTGTGGAAGATGCTTAGAGTTTAAGACATAGGAGTGTGCCTTAAATGACACTGGATTTAGGTGTGTGATTTAAATTTACATGTGTAAAACTTTCTTTTAATTTTACAGTTAATCGGTTTATGTACCACACAAACTGTTTAACTTCTCCTGTACTTTTATAAGAACACCTGAATACTGTTGGCACAATCATGCCGCACAGCACATAAGAATTACTAAAAATCTGTGATGAGAATATGCATCGTGCCTTGGTTTGTCGTTGGCTGCAAAGGACTTAGCAGCATGTCTGAGCATATCAAGCAAATGTGTAAAGAAGCGTGGAAGGGGCTTGATTCTTCCTTCTGTCTGCTGTAAATTTGGATGATGTTTATAGTATTCTACAGCTCTTGATCATCCTGGGATGCAGGTCCAACAGGAAATCCTTATCTCAAATAAGAATTTGAGTTTATAGGGTTGTTTCTAGGATTTTCTTTCTTTGCTTTGAAATGCCAGTATGCAAAATCTGATACAAACTGATACAGCTGATTTATGGGGATGTTTTGAAGCCATGTTCTCTAAGTGTTTCTAGTTCTGCATGTCAGATTTCCGCAAGAGATACTTTTTTATGAGATGAAATCTGTTCTTTCTTGATGATTGGTATTAGAAATTATTATTTTTAAAATACTTTCTAAAAATCATTAGTATTATTTTTTAGTTTTTTAAAGTAATATTTTTTGCTAATCTGATAAATAGCAGTTAAAGCTGTTCTTGTGACTAGAGTTCTTTGTCAATGAGCTTTAGGGTTAAAGATAGTTACAGAAATTAAATACAGGTTACAGGATAAATGTTGCAGGCTTTTATTTTTTTTAAAGAACAAACTGTATTATATTTATATGAAAGCAGTTTTATTACAGGAGGAGTTCTGCTAGTGATGTAACTTGGTGCTCTTCCCCATCAGAGCAGGCTGATCGTATTTGTTCTGGTATTTCTCCTAAAACAGCCTGGTGTTAAATTAACACCAGTGATAGTAACTTGACTTGCTGTGTGTTAGTCACTGTGTTGGCAAGGGATAGAGCATCTGCTGCTGTAAATCTTGAGAATTTATATACGATTGAAGGTTTTCCTGAAGAACATGTGTGACTCTTGCTGTGATATGATGATCAACAGTGTTTATCTGACCATAGCTGCTGTCCTTGATTGTCTGTTGGTTCCCAATGCCTTCTCGTCCAATCTACACCTAGTGCGTGCATGAGTCCTCTTTGTAGAGGCATGAGGGAGGATGGGAGGAGAAATCTATTACTATAGAGATTTATTTAAGAAAATAACAGAAACCAGGTTTGATAGCTGCTGAAACATTCTTCCTCTCTTTTTCTTCCTAAGTGTGGTAGAATACTATTAGGTGTAGACATGGCTGGAATTAATAAAGAGCTTTCATGGAAGTAGCAACACTCTAGGCAGATAAAAACAAGAATTGATGAACTTGTCCTTTTATACTGAAGTCTTCCTTAAGCATTGTTTTAAAAGAATGTTCAAATTTCTCTAAGAGCTAGTACAAAGAGAGACGGATTTTTTTTTTGTTTTGTTTCCTGGTCTGTCCCCCAGATAGGAAGTTTTTGGTAAGAAAACTGTTGCATTTGGTATTAAGTTTAACTAAATCTAGGGTCGAAGCTAAGGGCTGTTTATTTTCTGGATCTCTAAAGGGATAAACAATGAAAACTTAGTGGTCTTTCCTCTCTGCAGGGCTTTGCAAATCAGTTGGAACCTGCAATGGACTCTGTGCTCGATCATTTTCTGTCACAACAATGTAATCCCACATCCCCAAACAAGCCAATAAACAGCAAGATGATGATTGTAGTTTGAGCATTTGTTAAAGCACTGCTGTTTTTTTCCCCTTTCGAACTGATATTACTTGTGTCCTTGGGGGACCTGCATTTTCATGCTGTCAGAGAAAACATCAGCAAGAACGCTTTGTAATTCTATGCTTATTAACGAGTTCTTTTCAGCAGACTGGAGAATATTGTGTGTGTTTTTTTTTTTTTTTAACCTGAAGGAAATTAAAATTTGGTCCAGGACATGGAATTTTAGTTTATTAAAAACTGAGATACTAAAATGCCTTTGAAAAAAAATCATTATTTGAAATTTAATTCCACTTTTACAAGTACGTTAACTGTAGGTTTTATGAATGAGATAAGATTGTGAAAGTTGGCTGTAGCTTCCCTATGACTGCAAGACTTGGCTTCTACATGGGCAATCACTCTAAGTTCCTTCTCTTGTTATTTAATTAGTTCATCCTTCTGAGTTTCAGAAGACTCAGGAGCTTGTCTTTCCAAGAGGCAATATGTGATGAAATGCAGCAAGGACAAGAATTGTGATTATTATGCTGCCCAGTCCAGAGTCTGGGGGAAGTCTCTGAATTTCAAGTTAAAAAATATAGTTGCACTTTCTTTCCAAAGAACAGATTTTGAGTATCCACATATAATTGATATGCACATGGCTCGCAGCTCTTTGAAGTGTTTTTCCATTTTTTGACAGAAAGAGTGTTGCGTGAGTTCTTTCAGTCTTTGTGAAAAGAACTTCTTTGTGTGTGCAAGGAATGGCTTTGCCTTCATAAGTGGTTTCTGGGGGTATTCCAGTTCCAGCCCTTCTGGCTTGGAGCAAGTTGACAACGTGCTGACTGGCTGAGGTCAAGTGAGTGAGCCTAGAGAAGCTTTGAATTAGAGCTCTCCCTAAATTATTTCTACAAAGTTCACCCCAGACATGATTGCTTTATAATTTTTGCATTTGGTTCGTAATGCCAGTGGTCTTCATTAACAACATTTCAGCGTTAGCTTACAATGCTGTGGAAGACTCAGCATATGAATTCTTGATACTATTCCAAGCTATTAACAAGTCACTTTCATTAATTGATAAAAGGTTTCTTTTACTGATGATCCATTACTAAAATAGCCAGTAATGAAAGACATGTCCATATCTCGAACTTAAAATGCGTATTAACTGGTCATGTAATAAGCGTCTGCCTTTCCAAAGGTTAATTAGCACTTTTTGTTTGGAGTAAAACAATCCTATTAATACTAGCTGGAGGAGCTGTGCTTAAAAACATTAATTGATATAACTCATGCCCCAATGACTTGTTTTTCTGTAAAGCACAGGTTAATGGAATGGTTTCTTCCATGTGTATTAGTATCACTTGAAACATTTTGTCATCGAGGTTCACAGGTATTCAATATGTTTTTCAGAACTTTGCCAAAAATATTTTTGCAATTCTTCAATCAGTAAAAGCCAGAGAAGAAGGCCGAGCACCTGAGCAAAGACCTGCACCAAACACAGCACCAACGGTAAGAGCAGCACCTTGAGCATGAAGGTTTTCACTCTGAAAATGCGAGTACACTGTCTTGTAGTTATTAAACATGAAGTTTGTATTAGTTTAGTTTCAGTGAATGAGTAACTTTCAAGCATAACTTCACAGATATTCTTTGCCTTAAATTACATTTACTGGTATTTAAAGAGTTGAATATTTTAGTTTAATTTGTTCAATATGTTCTTGTTACTTACCGATGAAAGTGTTAGTGCCAGCTTCGGTATGTATCAAACACCAGAGACATTCTGCATCTATTTGGAAGAAATGCATTACTTGAGACTGCTGCCATTTCAAACAATTTTTTTTGCTGGTGGGTTTTTTGACAGATAGGGTAGCAAATGTTTAAGAATCTGGAACATGACTCACTGGTGGGAACAGCTTGAACCAGCTTTCTTTTGCCTGTAATAAATCAGGAAGACAGACTTATAGCTTTATTGTTTAAGCTGTCTGGGTATTAGACTGGATTTGTTCTGTGTGTTTACTATCGGTCTCTATTAAACATAATATATTCTTGAACTCGGTGACAGTCTACTATAAAAACTGTTTAATTTTACTTGGGTTTATTCTTGCTACCACTGCATTTAACAAAGAACTAAATTTAAGTAGCAAGGTGAGGTTCAACTTTCAAATATTTGCTTTGTTGAATTTTATAAATTGTCCATAGGACTCTTCAAACATACCATGCAGAATGGTATCAGCCACAGAAAAAATGAATTGGTATATAGTGGTGTGTTATAGGTGCCTTAAAAACACACACACACAAATAAAAAACATGAAACCAAACCTCTCCTTCCCCTTTTATTTACAGAATGCTTTTTTCACCGAATCTGGTTTTATTCTGGCAGATTAACAGATTTCTAGCTTAATCAAGCTGGCAAGAAACATTGTGTGTCTGGTGGAAGCCTTAACCATGAGTTGTCAGTTGACAATTTTTTTTCTGAATCTTGAGATATTACAGGAACTCAGTGATTTTTAGAAAACTTGAAGATTTTACCTAATGCAGTTTGCTATTACTACTTCAGTTTTGCCTCTGGTTGTTGTTGTTCCTTTCAGTATATACTTCCAAACTTCCTGTTAGGTTGCAAGTGGATGTTGAAACTAGACATAGCAGTATTCAAATACATTGAAAATCCTACAAAAGTAAACTAATTTTATTGTCTTAAACAGTTTCGTATAATGCTTTGTGAACTTCACAAATCAGCAGATATTTTCAGGATGTCTAAAAAAAAAAAACTTTATTTAACCTGTTTCAGGATCCCACTTTGCGAAATAAGCAACCTATTCCAGCTGCCTACAACAGATACGATCAGGAAAGATTCAAAGGCAAAGAGGGTAAGTTGATTGTAATCCTTCTTAAAAATAATAATTAAAATATATAAAAGGGAAATGAAATCAATGAGTTGTAAAGTTAGGGTTGTAGGTTTTTCTGTGCTGTTGCTTGCAAACCTAAGCAAAGACCAAAAAAGCTATTGCTGTGCCTAAAGATAGCTTTTGTCCAGTGGTAATACTGGGTAACCAAGTCTAAAAATATTATCTCTTGGCAATGCTTTCTATCATTTAGGAAGCAAACTGAAAGCTTAGAGCCAGAACTTGCTGAAAAAAATTGTCTGGGGAAGCACGTGCAATTAATAAATGTAAAACAAAACACTAGATCTGCAAATACGAATGTTACAGGAATCAAATGAAATAAGTTACCCCTCCTCATACAAACACAGTTACTTCAGAAGTTGCTTTCAGTAATCGTGTTACTACCTTGTGTCTCTAATGAAAAAAACGACAACAGCAGTGCAAAATATTAGCTTTCCTTCTAGAGAGAAGATGGAAATAATCTACAATATTTAAGAATTTTCATTCATTTTAAACCAGGGTGGAAGCTTGAAATTGAGTAATGATTAGTCTTTCTAAATCAGAATTTTTGTCCCCCTTGCTTTTTTTCATCTTAGGTTCTGGTTCTAGTACTGTTGTCTTGCTCTGTTTCGGTTTTGCAAATAGTGTTCGTTGTGGTTGGATGTTTTCTTGTTTCGTACAGATTGGCAAGGCAAATTCTTCTACACTTCTGTATTGTCTCTTCATTCTTGTTATCAAATAAAATCATTCTTTTCCTTAATGAAGCTTCTTATGCATGATGTTTAGGGCGTTCTTTTCTGGCTGCAATAGCTTATGTGCTGTTAAATGCTACTGTAAATACTAGATGAGCAGTTCAGCTTGCATCTTGCAGAGTGTTTTGCTTTGTCAAAGTTAATACCACTTTTTCTGTTTGGGGAAAGTGAATAACAAACATCAGAGAACTTGCATGGTATTCCATGTACGTGCTGTACTGTAGCTGATTGTGTTCAGTTTTGTGTTGAAATGGGAAAGAATGAAAAAACCCTCCCCTGAATACATCTACTGGTACTTGTTCAGTTTTGTTTCTCATAATTCGTAGTCTTCAGTACTTGAGCATTTGCCAACTAGTTTTTCTTTCACTACAATTTCCTATGAAGGGTTTTTCTTAAAGTAAATAACTATACTGGGCAGTGTGAAATTAGAGCTGGAGAAATCAATGAATGCCCAGGTATAACAGTTCAAATGTACCAACTGTACCAATTCTTGCCCCACTGAGTGCATCTAACAGTATAGTCAGCAGTGTAAAGTTTCTCTGTGCTGCTCTAAGTCTTGTCCCTTCAGTAATGTTCCACATTGTTGTTTTTTCTTAAGGTTTCAACATAGAAGTCAGTCCCTGTGAAAATGCCACTACTTTTAGTCTTATTTGGTGTAAATTGGAGAGGGGCTTGCTATACAGTCACGTGATTTCATTCCATAATGGTGAAAAGAATAATTAACCAAATTGTACAGGAAAGCTTTGATGTTGACTTCCTGCTATTGTCATTTTATGTTAAAATTATTCTTGTAATTGTTGGATTTTCAAACATAGATACAGTTTTTCAGAAGTATGTCAATTTCAAACAAGTGTTAAGTGTTAGGTCTAGGCAATAGATAACTAAGAAATGTTTAAAACTGAGGAGACTCTGGACCACAGAAAATATTTTTTCTTGTCTCATTTTAAGTATATCCTTTAAATTGTGATTTCTGTCCTGTAGGAGAATGGGTAGTAAGAGTTCCAGAATTCTGAAACTTGACTAACTTGTTAAACGTATTTACTGCATTCATTTCTGAGGTTATAGGGTTCTGTTTCTTTTTGGCAGAAAATGTGTAAGAGCTTCACGTTTGGAAAAAGTAGATTGTGCTTGCAATAGATTGCTTCTGTTCTCTCTCTCTTTCCTGGCTTTATGTGACCAGGTACTTTGATAATGTGTCTACTCAGTAGTGGAAAATACACACATTTGTGTTGTGACTTTCTTAGTACTGTGACACTTTAAGAACTTGAATTTAATTACCTGTAAGATTGTGATTAAACTGTTTTAGATGAACTTTACTGAGAAGTTTGTAAGCTTTAGCTAATGAAACCTGGAAATTTAGGCTTGAAACTTCAGTTTTACTCGTTAGGGTAGTACTGAAAAGGAGTATTCAGTAAACTATTTTGTAGAATGAAATTTGGTGTCAGTGACTTAATTGCCATGGGTGTGAAGTGGGGTAGTGAATCATTTCCAGGCAGTCTGCAGAGCTATTATCTGTTTTGAAAAGTATACAGATGATAAAAAAAAAAAAAAAAAAGTGATTATTCAATCTTATTCATCGGCAATTCAAGTAATGTCTTTTGAGTTTTCCAGTTTTGGAGAGGCGTATTCCTTCAAACTGTTTGTTTGCCTAGACTTCCTTCAAGATGCAAGCCTTTTTAAAACTGTTATTCTTAGGCAACGTGTCGGTGCTCAAGTTTACACCTGGATGGGATGGCTAGAGCTGCAGCAGGTGCAGAAGCAAAATGTCTGGTGACCTAGATTGACACAGAGCAGGTGGGCTCTGAGCAAATGGAAGGCACTTTGAGCATTAATACTCATATGTGAGGAAATGGAACATCTGACTGCATCATGATGGAGAATATAATCAGTCCAATAAGCTGATGCATTAGTGTGCATATTTTCATTACTAGGTCTAATTCTTCTAAATGAGAGAAGGCACTCAGGTTGATGCATGGTGATGCTAGAAAGGTAACTAGTGATGAACCACGCTAGGAAAGTATATGATTCTTTAGAGAATTTTTGGGTCATTGAACTGCGAAATTGTGATCATAATACATGCAGTGACTGGAGAAGGAAAGCTAGTCTTAATGTTAGCTGGTGACAGTTTGTTTTGAAGCAATAGAACTGATTATGCAGTAGTTATTGTGTTTAGTCTCTAGAGATGCAGGTTTTAGACATTTCTTGATCAAGATGTTTTTAACAATGCTTATGTTTATTAAACTGATTATATTTGGCAAACAGAAAAAGCTGTAATACATTATTACACTATATGTTAACGCTGGGTTTTGCTTGCATTTAGTCTGTATTTGAAGTATTAAATCTGGACTGCTTTTTGCCTAAATGAAGTGTGTATGATTACATGGTTATTTTATAATTTACGGAAAAAATCCAAGTTATTGAAGACTCTTACGTAGCTTTTTTAGCAGTTGTTCTGTCTCCAATTCAAAGTTGAAAAACAAAGACCTGCAGTTTCACCATCATGATGCTTTTCTTTTTTAAAGGGTCTCTTTTCTTCCCAAACACTTTACCCTTTTCTTAGTAGACTTACAATTTTAACTGTGGTTTTCTTTATTGCCACTGGTGAAAGTACGATTTTGAAACTGGAGTTGCAAACTAATTCTTGGCCAGGCATCTGTATTTCATGCCTGTGCTGCTGCATGACTCAGCAGCGCAGGTTTGAGCCGCTGAAGAAGGGATAGAAGAAACACATTGCATTGGTGGTGTTAGAGTGTATGGTACAGCTTTTATGCTGATGTATGCTGGGGTCATGTCCCCTGGTACTCCAGGTTGCTCTGTGTTCTGCTCTTCTTTACTGTGACCTGTTGGTCCTCTTGTGTCCTAGGGCTGCTATTGAGCAGCTGTGTTGGGGTCAGCCGCTGCCCTCGGAGAATGCTCGGGAAGAAATGCCGCTCCTCTTTCTGTGTTGGCCCTTGAATGTCTTTTACAAACAGCTGCAGCAACCTGGCTAACAGCCTCAGTAATTTTTGAAGTGGGAATGCAGCCATAGCTGTGGAGTTCCTGACTTGGAAACGTTTGTTCTCTGCTTTGCACAGGCTGCGTACAGGGAGTGGAGCTGAAGGTACTGTATGCATCTCTATGCAGAGATGAAGACCTTCAAAAAAGGCATGAATGTACAGTACGGTGATAGGGATCTTGCAGTTCCCGGTGTTTATTTCTGCAATTGAGTGCAGTGAGTGGCTGACTGTTAGAATATCACAAGGTAAATAGCCACAGCAACCCTCTTTAAACTGACAACAGCACAGACATTCTTTGCTCAGGCTATCTGGAAGCTGGCAATGCTGAACTCATTCATCAGCTGCTTAAGAGTTTGAGGCAGGAAAGTTGAGAGCTGGTGGGCTGTTGGGGAGGTGGTTTCTTCTGCTCATCCCACCCTACCTGCAGGTAGCAGGCCCTGGAGTCCCCAGAAGACCTCATAGTGGCTGTGGTGACTGTTTGCAGGAACCGAAGTGGGCACCTGCATTCTACTTGGGCCATTCAGCTTCTCTCAGATTCACATCAGTAAGAAAAGGCACTATGCCATTGTTTACCGATGATCAGAAATGTTTTATTTATCACCTAAGTAGCTGTTAAATAGCATTGGAAGGCCTGTATACCTGCTGGAAATACTCAGCGGGCTAGGAGCCCACTCTCTAATGCCTGAGGCAATAGCTGGCTCTTCAGATCCTAGCTGTTTACTCCTCTTGCTAGGAGGAGGGAGCAGCACAAGGCTGGGAGAAGGGAACCAGAGAGATCCAAGGCCTCATTCAGTGGCTCTTGTGGCTCGTTGAACCAGGACACATTTTTGAGGGACTTGAGATTTTTGCAGAAGATGAAACCATTTGTGGTTGAACAGAGGCTTGTTCCCTGCAAGGTGCTTCTTTCCCCTTTGATATTAGATTTCATTTTCTGACTGTGCTGCTGGCTCTGTGGACTTTTATTCCCTTTGCGTGGCTGATGGAGACTTGAGTTACAGTTCTTGTTGTGTGTGTATATATAGATTTAGTTCAGGAAGAATGAAAGGTTTTACAGGGACAAAGAAAAAGGTTGTTGGGAAGATACCTGAAATGGAGAGCAAATGTGAAGAACTAATTAACTGTAGAAGCAAGGTTTGTGCTGAGAGGAAAGGAGCAGGCAGGCCAGGGATGGTGGGGGGGGTGCTGCTTGCTGGTCTTGTTAAGGGGTGTCTGTATCCCGGAGTTTGGGCAAGATGTCTGGTTGAAACAGTCGAGAACCTCTTATGGCACAGGTAAGAAGAACCTGTAATATGCCAATTTGGAGAGGGCAAAGTTTCCTCAGTTGGTAATCATCTGTAATCCCCAAACAGCTGTCATTCTAGGTTATGCATCTCTGATTGGTGTCACTCCAGGTCAACAAAAGCATCCTTTCAACTGAAGGGAGCTCTACCACGTATTCTGTAAGGCCTCAGGCACCTCCTGAAACATTAATATGTTCCTTGCCTAGAAGCAGTGACCTATATAGTCAGTGAGAAAACTGTTGTTTGTAGAAAGGCTGGGCAGAAGAAACTTCATTATCTTTAGCTCGAATTCAGCTGTATTAGCCCTGTGCTGAGGCTCAATGTGTAAAGAAACTCATGACTGTACCTACCTGCATTTTGCTTTCTCAAAATCAATGTTGCATAGTTCAGGAATGTCAAGTCCGGCAGAAGGGAGGGCTTTGGGAAGCGGAGACAAAGAATCACAGAAGGGCTGGAGCAAAGGTGAATTTGTACTGTGACATGGTGGGCAGTGCAAGTAAAACACGATCCAGTCAGTAAGACTAGGCCTCTCTGCTGGGTGGTAGGTGTGATAATATAATTGAGGAGGAAGGGGAAAAAAAGAGACAAAACTAAAAAAAAAGTTCAGAAAGCAGATAACTGTCATTGTGGTGAGACAAGTATGATCAGTTTGGAACTGTTTGGTATCTTCTGGAAGGCACTGGAGAGTAATAAAATCTGGAGAACTTTTCTGCCTCATTTCCTACAACTCTATGATAATCTTCCTCATCTAAAGGAAGAAAGGATGATCAATGATAGATGCTTCTCAGGGCCATCTGTATTGTTGTCAGGGTTGTCTAGGTTTCAATTTAACTTACTCATGGTAAGCACAAGAAGCTCTAACAGTACTGAAAAACTGATATTTTTCTTGGAAGTCTGTAGGCTCAAGTATGAGAATTAACCTTGGTTATGCATTATTTTTGGTTTGTAAGTTTTTATGTGAAGATGATGTAACAAAAGGTAATGATCCTCCAGTTCTCAGTAAGGGTTTCTGCAAGCATCAAGTGCCTTTACTCAAGTCTAGTTGAAATAGCAAAGAAGTTGCTTAGCATAGACAAATGCTTGCAGTCACCACTGTCCTCCTTATCAGAGAGGCTTTAACTGCTTGGCTTGGTTGCAGCACGTGTTTCACAATCATGGCCAACCTGTGCAGTCAGGTTCACCCCTCAATCATGAGCCCACCTAATATGTTGCATCTCTGCCTTGCTGGGCCCACTGAGCTATAAATAATTCACCCTCATATTGCCAGTGTAGATCCACGCAACCAATTCAGTCTCAGCAGCCTGATCCACCTGCTGATTGACTCTTGCATACCTGAGCATCGATGTGGCATACTTCAGCGACCAGATTCTCTGCTTGGGTAGCAATATCTTGGCACAGTGCGGCAGCCCAGATGGGTTTGCCTCTGCGCTGCCAGTTGCTTTGCTTCCGTTGCTGTAACCACCACAAACCATGCCGATGACTTCTCATGGCCATCCCTGGTGATTAGTAGTAGTCCTGTCATTTTAAGCATGAACTACTGGAGCTGTTGGTTGGTAGGGCCAACCAGCTGACAACAGATGCATGAGATGAGGGAATGTACAAATGGAAAAAGGTTTCACTGTAAATTCCGGTGGCAGCAGTCATGAAGCTGACTTAGTACTGAAAATAGGAAGAGAGAAGGACTTCTCAAACCCCAGAAGGCTAGCAGCAGAAAGCTTAGTCACTGAGCACTTGTAGACTTCTGTCACTTAGCATATATTCAGCCTGATTAAAAGTGCTCCATGAAAAGCAAAGAAAAAACACAGCTTTTCATCGCTTTTAGTCTGGTAGTGTGAATTTATGTGGTTTCTGTTTTGTGTATCGTGATAACGACATTGCTTTTCTGCACTGCAGAAGTGGGTTTATCATATTAAGTGTCCATGGTTTTATAGTCAGTTGGTATACCAGTTTCTGATTAAGTACATTTCTGTATTCATACAGCTGTGAATATGTTGCATCATAATGCATTCTGGGAACTAGCTGCTTCTACATCTTTTAGCAAAGAGAATTTCTGAGACTGCATGCATATTGTTTCACGTTCTTGCAAATATTTAAATATACATCCTTCCTCTGAATGATTCCATGCAGCAGAAAAAGCTTACTCTGGTTACTGAAAGCAGAAATACCAAATGGAGCGCTGCCTAAAGACAACACTGCTCTCTTAAATGCTAACCAAGTTTTGTAGTATGAACAGAACCTAAACTGAACCACCAACAAGACGCTTTCCTTGCAAAAATAACTTCAACGATACTTCTTATGTTGTCTGTTCAGTCATGATGTCTCTATGCTCAGAACAACTTACAAGAGACTCTTCTGTTTTGCAGAAACGGAAGGCTTTAAAATCGATACCATGGGTACCTATCACGGAATGACTCTGAAGTCTGTAACGGTAAGCTAAAGGTCTTGCCTTAAATATGTTTTATGGAAACAATGCATGTCTTGTCAGCCTTGCCTAGGCTCTGGAAGGTCACGTCAGTTGGCTAATAGAATTAATGAATGTTTTTCTCTGTGACAAAGTAAAAATGTTTTGATTAGGTCATTGCATTTTAGAGAATTTTGTTCAAGGGGTTTGTCTGCAGTCAAAAGGTAATCGGACCGCTTTGCTGGCAGGTTTGTCTTGTTGAGGTGCAGCCTCTCTATGACTGATTATGTTAAGACTATATGACTATATTTTTTGCTAGCCTTCTGTGTTAAGGACATCTTTTATACTCAGAAGTGATAAAACTATACTTGTGAAATCTTAGTAATAAAACTAGATCTTGGAATATTGATGTGTTTCGTACTCTGTGCTTAAAAACAATAAATTTATTTAGTGGTAGAGGAATTACTGCTTTGAAACTTTCTGGCTTAGTGAGATGGACTTCTTTCGTATGAGTTTGCAATGCTGTCAGTGGGAATTGTTACATGTACAGATGAGAAAGACCCTTGAACAGATTTCTTTTCTTGCCAATATTTCTCTGCTTTTATGGAAATGGGTTGAATGCTCTCAAGCTAATGCTGTTTTGATCTGCTGGTAAGTAGGACAAATGCTACAAAACTAATGTAGAGCCCTCATTAAAGTTTTTGCCATCTGTGTACCTATATAAATCTGATGAATTGGCAGCACTAAACACTCTCCTAAATCCATGCACTACTTCTAGTTTGCACTTCTAATTCTAATATAAAATAGTACCTTGAATGTAAATTTATTAAAACCATTTAGAACTTTTCTTCTTGATAAAAGCTCTTGCTTAAGTCTTTCATTCCCAACCTCATCCAGACTTCAAATATTTAAAATAATTGTATGGTAACATTTTAAGGAGGGAATCCATTTACTTCTAAAACAGAACGTGGATGAATTCAGAAATTGATTGAGAGAGAGGGAAAAACCTATGATGTCTTCCAAAGATTTGTTCTTGTCCCTTGCGTGATTTAAGGCTGCTTTATGAGGGATTATACCGTGTTGTTACACTAGATGCAGATTTCTATGGTATGATGTGTTTGTTTCTATTCATATTGTTGTAAATTAGTAAATAGGCCGTGTTTAAATCCTCCTATGGAAGCAGGAAAAACGTAAGATTATAGTAAAGTAGAAGAGCTGAGATGTCGTAACATGTTTTGTTCTAACACTAGAGATGTTAGTATAAAAAAATTTAAAAGTGAAGAAATGGCATAGTAACTCTAAAAATGTTTGTTGGAGTTCATAAAAATAATTAGCTTTTTGTTTTAGGAAACCTAGCTGGTATATTCAGTATAGCACCTAAAGTTTTGAGGTAGAATTAAGCTGTCCTTGCTGGTGCCAGCCATTAAGGAGGCAGATATAACTCATAGAAAAAATTACTAATAAACCTTTTTGCAACATAAACTCGAATTTTTTGGAATAACTGTTTAAGAGGTATTGCGTGACTGCACATAGAATATCATCTGGTGTCATGAGAAATATTAAAACTCCATCTGTCATTTAGCATTTTTCCAAGAAAAGTTATAAGGGATTTTTGAAGCCTTATTTTACAGACTATTAAAAAGTTGCCCTAGATGTTTACCTCATTCATAAATAGTGGTGACATACTGACTTTGTTTTTCAAAGGGGGGTAAAATAAATCTGTTCATTACGTGGCACAGAAGTATTCATCTGTTTTTGTCTAAACTTTGTCACAGTGATGGATCTACATAGGCCTAACCCATAATCCTCAGACAGTTGTTTTGTGCAGAATGCTTAATTTACTAGTTAGCAAATTTTGCATTAAGCTTTTACTCTTTCTTTTTTGGGGGGGAGGGGTTGTTCCTATTTTTAATGCTAGAAAGTATAGGAGGAAATCAAAAATTTCTCCCTAAAAGCTGAAATGGGAAAAGGCTGAATGCTCATTACTAAATCATAGGAATATGGAGAATAACATTGGAATGGCATCCTATGTGTGCTATGTCTTGTGTGCTATCCCCATGCTAAAGGGTATTTGTAATATGCCTTTTGTGTATTCATCAAACATCTCGATGACTTGAAGTGCTAGGTGTAGCTCTTTATTAGAGGCTGTTTTCCAAGTCTGGGCCTCTCATTTCCAGATGAATGGTGAGTGAACTTTGAAGTGCTAATTTCTATGCCATTGTTTTCCTTTTAAGTTAAGTAGCTTTTCTATTTGTTGGGGAGTGTTTGTTTTCATTGTACTGTGGACACCAGTCATGCTTTTAAAACTTTTTATTTTGCTTGGCTAAACAAGTCTACTTGGGAAATGAGCTTGCAATTCCCATCTGAGCATTCTTTAGCTATTCCAGTTAAGTTCTTTTTTTCCTTTCTTTGTGAACACGGAGATGTAAAACTTCACGTAGTCTTCCAAGTGAGATTTAACCAGCAGCTTGTAGAAAGTCATTAAAAACTTCTTACTGGTTCTGAAAGTATAGATATCACTTGGAGATAGATGAACTAGCTATTTTACATCATCTTCATTCTTTCTCACCTTTTCTTATTGTATTGTTGTCTAGTTTCCCATTTGGTTACGAGCAGAGTTTTGGAAGAGATTATTTAACCTAGCACGGTGGTTAATCTGAGCGTTAATGTTATTTGTAATACCATTTGTCCATGCTGTTGTTTTCTCTTTGTTACATTGATTCTCTTGGCTTCCTTATTACTCATTGTCCTTTTTTTTTTTATTTTTATTTTTTTGGTTGGAACAGAACAGTTTGTTCAGGCTAGTCTTCCTTTTAAAAGGCTGATGGAGCCATTAGCTTGCAAAAGTGTTGATTTTGTTAGCAACTGGAAAAACTTTGTAGGCATATGATTGCTACATGGAGTGCAAATTGTTGACCCATTGTCTGGAGTTGCCCATCTACTTCTCTCCTAAATTTTCGAAGATATCTTTTATTTGTTTCCTGTTATCTTCCCTATGTGTCTTCCACTTGGCATTGCATGTCATATTCTAATTCTTTAATTCATTTTATGAAATGTGCAGAGCTTCAGCTTTTTGTTTGTTCTTGCTGAAATGTGAGTTGTCCTAGATGCTTGTTCTTTTTAACAGCAAAACAAACTTCTGCATTTGACTGCTTTCTTTTCATCAGTGATGTTGAAAACTTTCTTAGCATTCAAAATTTGTGCCAGAACAGATGGTGAATGGTGGGCTTTTTTTGAAGTAATGTCAGCTAAAATAACTTGTGCTGCTGGCAGTTCTTCCCTGTAACAGGGTTTTTGCTTAATTGGCGCACTTACTTTCTCTTAGGAAGAACTGACTTATTTAATGAATTTTTATTGTGAAGCCATGATTTCATTATTCTGGACCTGGAATTGTTTATAACAAGGCATCTTTCTCGGAGAGCCATTTTTTAATACCCGTGGCACTTCCCATTTGCCTGGGCTGATGGTGTTTCAGAAGCCTCTATTCTAGTGACAGTAGCTCTTGCTCTCCAGTTACCCAGCAGTTCATGTTGCCAACTCTGCTGGGAGACTTGTAGGGACCTACAGGTCTACCTGCAGGCCTCACTTCAAAAGCAGAATCCCCTGTATAGCAGAACAGCTTCTGTGGGTATTTTATTTTAAAGTAGGAAAGTTTACTGTCTGAAATAGATCAAATAAGAGGTAGAGAAATATGCTAATATTTTGTACCATGTAGGATGTGAAGGGAATGGTGTGCGAGAATTTGGAACTGATATTCTCAATGTGTTCTTTCTTGTGTACATTTGACTTGTTCAGGGCATTATCTGTCTGCTTTTCACTGACTAAAGAGAAATGCCACCTTTGAGACTAAGCCAGTGTCATCTAGTGGAAGCCTAGGAAGTGACCTTTCTTTTATATATAACGAAATTCCATTTTGGGCTAATGGTTGCTGTCACTGGGATGTGTGAAGTATTTAGCTGTTCCTATGGGTTGAGAAGTAAACGTCAGACCAAACTAGCTGTCTGCACCTGTTTTAGGATACTGGAGAAAATGCTGGTTCCATATGTGTCTGATAAAGCTGGATTTGATAGATTGGTGCTGAAGTGTATCCTATTGCAAGCTGAGTGTGTGCTTTGTATTGACTCTGTGTGTATGCAAGTAATATTTCTCTCTGTGACAGTAACTTGGGGTTTAGGCACTGGTTGCTTTACCCGTCTTTCATTTTTTTCTTTAAGTTTTCATACTTATAACTAATATGAAAGAAAGCAATGGACTGATACCCTGCGGAATCATTTCCACTGCTTTCAGCTCTGAGAATCCTGACTAATGATCAGCTGTGATTCAGAGCTGCTATACACTTGGATGCAAGCAAATCAGATCTGCACATTACTGCAGTAGGGCCTTACAGAAATTACTTCGCCTTTCCTAATTGCTGGAAAGCTCCCCCTTATTTAACTTGTGCTTCCTTCTGGTAATCATAGCTGCTGAAGCTCAGAAGCTCCCTGTCAGTCTTTTGTTTGCTGCAACTAATGAAATCTGTCATTGATCATCTGCACTTGTATGCAGCCAGATATACCGTTGGCATTTCATTTTCTTAGTGTTCTAGTGTTCTGTAAACAGGTGGATACAACAGCTCTCCTAGGTATTGATGTGATGTACTTTGGGCTACGCTTGAAGAATCAGTACAGTTAGTGAGTTAGGGTGTCAGTGGAGGCACCAGGCTTGTAGTGAACTCCGATGTGAATTTCTGCAGCATGCAAGCGTGTAAGTTTTGTCTCTGTTAGGAAGTTTCCTGCAAGCTTTTAGTGCTTCTGAGTTTTGTGTTAATGTTTTAGCTACAAATTCAAAACCCACTTATTTGGCTTTCCAGTGTAAACTGCCAGGCTTTACAGTAATCTTTTAGTTGTAAAATGATCCTGAGTAAACATGTGGGGGTATTGATGATTCAAAATCAAGCAAAATCAACACTGTAAAAAACACATTACAATTGAATCAAATGCATTACATGGTCCTGACAGAAAACTACTAACTACTGGGTGTCCCTACAT